TCAAGAAAATTAGATTTCAAGGCTCCCTACAGCATTGAAGATTTAAAAATAGATCTATTAACACACACAAAGAAAATGTGTCCATTTCATTGCTGTTGAAAGTCTGTTGCTACTGAACATTCTTACTAACCCTCGGATGAACTCTGCGCTCTCTTAATAAAATGCCCCCCTGGCTCCTCAAAGAGGTTTTCCATTATGCAATTCCTAGTGTTCTAATCCAACGGCTTCGACTAATTGCAATCAAAACAGAAAGGCCGCTTCTCTCAATAACATTTTTGATTCAGCCTGGTTTCGTATGAAGCTGTTAAATGACTCACTGATGACTCATGACATGACTTTGTGAATATCCTCATGTTGGATCTCATGTCTGCCTTTGATAGGGCAGCCATGACTTACTGATTGTCTTTAGCATATGGTTAGTATAAATGCCAGCGACTGGTTTTCTCTTTATCGTGTCAACTTTTTCTGTCAAGATGGACAATTTCTCTATTCTCATTTGCTTGTAGCTCCTTCTGGCTCACACACCATCTGTCACAATCTTCATCTTCACTCTGGATAAGTCAGAAGTACAGTATTTCCTTCCACTTATGCAGATGACACTTTGCATTCAGATCAGAATCAAACACTTTCTTAAACGCTTGGCGCTCTTTCATAAGTCTCTAAGGTCCTTCATCAAATACGTTTTCTCCATATTACGATGTGCAGTTTTAACTGAAGCCACTGGCTGTTTGATCACTGTAGGTAAATGAGGATGAGACCTTTGCTGTGGCCCAAAGACTGTGGAACAACATCAAGTCGGCCTCCACTGTTTACACTCTTGAATCCTGCCTCCGTCTTTTAGATTGTTCACAAACTACCGCGGATTCATTTGAAAAGGGATCTTTTTGTGCTTTCACTACACTAATTTGTGTAATATGTAGATTATTTATATTTTTAAGAATACCATTTTCTGTCACTTCCATCTTTTTTTTATGTTTGCTGTATTTACACCACAAAGGTGTTTCAATTTTAACGTTTCTGTTGTGAGTTGACTGAGCTAGTGTAAAACAGGATGTCTTTGAGGCTCTCCCAGGAACTAGTCTTTGTAACCGAGTATCTTTACAAGGAGGACCTTTCTGCACATTCAAAATTAGCATCAACGTGTGCTGCTGCTGTTGTTGTTGTTGTTATACATACTTTTTAAATAACGTGGAAGGACTAATTTGTGATTTGCCAAGATGAGTATTTTCCCAGATGTGAACTGTAAATTGGTCTTCAACAACATTGGGAGTGAAATCGTCTTCGTGGAGATTATGTCTTATTCAGACTCGTGTGATATCACTGCTCAGCTGAAGAACTGAATGGATGCTCCTCCTTCAGTCGATAGCAGGCGCTCTTCTCATGTTAGAACGGCTGCTATCCGCTGGGATTAGTAACGCATGAAAAGCACCACGATTTTAGCAGCTGCACCGTACTCTGCCTGAGTTTATTGACGTTTTTATTGGGCAATCTCTTCCACCTGTCTGTTAGCGTTAACCATAGTCCATGGCAAAATCATCTGTAGAGGAAATACAGTGATCTACTGTATAAGGTTGTGCGTCTGTGTGTAGAGGAACAGCATTCCTTTGTCTGCACTGCTTAATCAAAAACTGTCCCCATATTTGGTCAGCCTACGAGAAATGGATGCTGATCTTGCAAACATACGCGGCTCCTTTGTAAGCTTATTTACTAATTAACTTATTCATTATCGTCCTCTTGACCCCTCTTTGAACTCTTCCAGTGATTTAAATTGTTCTGTCCTCCTTTTCTTTACCTCTTCCGCTCTGTCTCTCTGCAGTTCTTTTTCCTCCTCTCAAAAGTCTAAAGGGCTCAAAGGCAGCAATATTCTTCATACTAATGGATATTAGTTCAACAAAAAATTGGAAAAAGAGAAAGAATGGAAGAGGAGTTGAGCAGTAAAGAGCAGGTTTTATCTCACAACTCATCTCCCAAATGCCTTCCATTCCATGTCAACGTACGTACATGGCGACTCTCACTCATGCAAACAGAAATGCTGTGCAGCTGGTTGGCTGGTTATTGCACTGCTCTCTCTCTATCGCACACTCGTAGATCCACAATGGTGTCTACTTAGAATTCATGGCGGTTAATTAATATTCTCCAAATAGAAAAAGAGTGCTCTAAAAATATACATCTAGTGGCTTTGTGATTGGGATATCCAGCCATAGCAGCCCCAATTACATCAACTCCTGAGCTACAATTGTGTGCAAAGTTTGCCAACGTATGGAAATACAATGTGTCATTCAACCACTAAAGAGGGCTTAATATTAATGCACACAACTTGAGGTCACCTCAGGGCATATGATGTTGTTTTAATAACTATTTCACAGCCAACGATTATTTGCTGCTGTAAAGGATAATGTGTATAACATTATGTGCTATGTCCATTTGATGTGAATCCATAAAAAACTGGCATCTTTGTTTTGATTATTTTACTCATCAGCAGCATCATTTAGCTTCTTCAGATTATTATATATATATATATATATATATCTCATACTGTTCAGACAAAATGATAGGGAAACATTGTATGTGCAAATTCATGTATAAATGGTCAATTCATTGCCTTCAACCGTGGCTATAACTTGTACTGTTTCTCCTACTTCACAAAGAGATAGACTGAGGTAGGTAGATGGTCTTTGTATGTCATATTTGTTTGCAACCACGGTGACCGAAGGAGTAAACGAAGGGAAAGTTGTCCGGCGGACAAGTAGAAGAGAGTCTTGAGTTTTGTGTTTGTGTGCATGTGTGTGTTTGGGTCCAGCCTCCTCCATAGGCCATTGTCAAAAGAGGACAAGGCTGTCTTGGTCAATGATTTCCCCTCCTACATATACGCCTTATGATTGGCCATACTTGACAGGAACGCAGCTTTTCCAGCCAATGAGCTGAGGGCCTTAGGAGGTGGGGGGGGGGTCCTGCCTCTGGACCAAAATAGCCCAGTAAATACACTGCGGCCACTATGAGAACTGGTGCTGGCCCACTGTTGAATGCTTTGTGTACAAACAAGGGATGCTTGTCAGCCGGGTACTGCTGAAGCATGCTGGCCAGTGTTCTCCTCTGTTGTGATAGGCACAACTAGCTGAGTGGCACTTTGATACCAGTGTTTGTGTTCCTGCATTCAGAGATGCAGGACGGTGGAGGAGAGTGTGGACGGAGATGTACTAATAGTTGGTGATAGAAGAGTTGTTCTAACACATTACTCATAAGGGATCCATCAAACAAGCTGCTGCTCGTAGTGGGCATTCTGCATGTGGCCTTTACAGTTTGTTTGTGCACGTGTGTGTTACAACCCGAGGCCGATGCGGATTGACGTGCTAATTGATTTTACAGCTGGCCACAGCCGAGGAATGTCTTCAGTGATGGGTACAGTTCTTTTGGCTCAACAGTTGAAATCAGAGTCACATCACTTCATAAAGGAGTGTGAGAGACAACAAGTTAACATTGACAATTACTTAACTTTCCTCTGAATCCTTTGTCGTATTGGCGCATCCTCTTTATTTTGGACCTGTCCATGTATAGCTTTTCCACATGTTCTGAAGTGAAAATATTCTGCTATATATTCTGCATCATTTCCCCACTAGGAGGCTCCTTTAATGGTCCTGTCAGCAAGTAGTCATCAGTCTACATTTTGTTGTTTCTTTGATTTGTTGTCTGTGTGTCTGCTTTTGGAGTGATGAGCTTGTGCTATCTATTTAATTGAGAATGTTGAGGCACCGATCTGTGTTTGTGTGTGTTTTTGCTTGTGCTGAAATAAAAATGGGTGCTAAAGCACGTAAACAAATCTTACTGCACTTTTTTCAGAGGCAGTTTTACTTCAATCTGAACACGCTTGCCTGTCACAAGGAAATCAGTCAATCGTTGAGAAGTAAACCGTCCTGCAGCTCCATTTTACACGCAAAGTACAGTTTGTGTGTGTGTGTTTGCACAGGTAAACACAGATAGTTTATACAGGTTACTGGGATGCTCTTATCCTACAGTATACGCAGACACGCTAAGCCAGTTGTAAGCGTGATTATTCTATTTTATTTCAATAGTGCAAGTTACAAAAACGTGCACTGCACTGTAGCACCTTACCTGTGTGTATTTTAAAAAAAAAACAGCATCTGGTTGGTTTTGTTTTTAACAAAACCGTGACTTTCAGTAAATTATAACAAATGTACTGCTATGGGATGTCTCTTTTTATTGCGATAAGGCATAAGTTTGTGATATAACCAATACTCAATGGACACAGATTGCCTTTGATATCATATATGGTGGTATTTCCTTTCCAGGTCTGTGTTTCTAATGAGGCTTATTGACATCTAAGCATGCAGGTTTGTATTTGCATTTGCGTGTGCGTGTGTGTGTGAGACAGTGTGTGGGTGTGCAATTAAAGAAGTAAATATGATGATTCACTGCCCTATAGCTCAGAAAAACCCATGCACAATGACTCGGCAGACAAAATAAGGAAATTGCGTCTAGGGTCTATCTGTGTTTATGCATGCACATGTGTACGTGTTACTAAATGCAAATGCTGTACACTGCTTCAGGAAGGAGGCTTGACGGAAGGAGGAGTTCCACATACGAGGGGAAGAGGGGGAAACGAGCAACGGAGATAAGTTTACTGGACACAGGGCTCTCGTTGTTGTTGCCCAAGTCGACGGCATTCAGGCCAATTTAGGGGAAGAGGAGGAGGAGAAGGAGGAGGAGGAAAACGAGGAGGACTGGGAAGCTGAGCTTGTGGTTATAGAGAGGGAGGAAGGTGACTAATAGTGACTGTCACTCGGTCTACTGTAGCCCGTTGGTGGAGAGTGGGAGTGCCGTCACAACCAGTGAACCGGCATATGAATGCACTAGTTGGTCGGTCCCAGCCGGCAAAAAACTAACAACTGTCACGGAGTGTGTGCAGTAACACGTGGAGGAGCAGATCTCTCTTGGCTGCACGATGTTGTCTTTGGGATAGTTGAAGAGTTGCTGGTAAGGATCTAAAGTTATACTTCTACTTTATGTATCAGTGTCAATCCGAGCTCTGTTCAGGCTGACTGGCCACTAAATCAGAAATGAAACTGAACGTGTCTGAGCAGTTTTAGTGTGTTTTTAGTAGAATGTAGTTCCTTTTTTAAACTTGAATATATATTGACAGTAAACTGGTCATAACATATTGCATTTTGACCTTAATAGGATATAGAGATCTCGAGTCATCACTCCATTGTTTAGCAATGCAATGATTGTTTGTTATGTGCAGCTAAGTGGAGGCAGAATGTCAGAGCGATGGTACTGATTGTGTGGCAGTCTGGTGGGGAGACAATGAAAGTTACCATATGAAATACAACAGTTCTCTAATTGTTAACGTGTTTGCCAACATGCATCAAATTCAAAAATACAAAATGGCAAGCCACCGTGCTGAGAGATGTTTTGTGTGTTCATAACATACTAGCACCACACCTGCAGCAAACAGGGTGACCTGAGTGTAAATACCTGTATTAGCATTATTTCTGTTACTGTGTGTGCCTAATGTTCTGCACAGGGAATAGCCTTATTGACTTCAGATTGAACAACATTTACTTTAGTTTTCCTTCTTATCATTCAAGTGTTGGATAAGACGTGGGCATCAATATCAAAAATAATTTAATCTAATTGTGGCATGATAAACATGCCACAATGGTTTTTACAAGGGTTTCCTACAAAGGAAGTTGCTTCACCACTGACAAAATATAGGAGTTGTGAAAACTGATGCAAGGAAAGGGGAAGTGATGCATTGTGGTTATAATTGGCGAGGCTGGTCTATTATCTTTCCTGGATCTCATTGTGTTGTACTTTGATTTGACATGGTTGTAAGTGTGTTTGTGCTGATAGCCTATTGTTGTCCTTTCCTCGCTAGTTTCACATCACTCTCTCGTCTCTATGATCTGTGACCCGAGGAGAGCAGGACTGAGTTGACAGATTCACTCTGGACAAGGGTCCCTATTTATCAGCTATTTATAGACTGTGCTTAGAAGGTGACAGGCATTGTGATTCACACACAATGTTGAGGAGTGATGGTGATTCATTCAGACGACCTTCAAAATGTTGGTGAGCAGAAATGTAACTCTGTTGGCACTTGATGTCTGTAAATAACACACACGTTTGCCAGCAATCTAAGGACACTGATCTTTTTACAGCATGCATCCAACCCTTAGCCCCAACCAGGCTAAATGTATAACAAAAGGAAGAGGCTGCAGTGTTTTGAATATTTGAGTGAGTGCATAACTTGGATAGTCTTTGTGTTATAGAAGAACATGCTTGAACCGCTACTCATTTGAAAAATGAAGGTGTTAAAACAGCCAGAAACCAGATAGCAGGGTGCCCCTCATAGCAAACTCGACACTGTGACGTCCGAGAACCAGCTGCAGAAGTGCTGCAGCAATTTGCTTAATGGAAAAGTGAACTAAACAACTGAATCAAAAATGTCTCCTGCAACATAATGCAGTGTGTGTGTGTTTGTACTCGGGTTTAACCATGGTCTGTTGCTTCCTTCACTTCCGCCCTGGAAATGATTCTCTCATTCTGAGTTTGTCAGCGTGTGTTGCACACCTGCTGCTTGAACACTCCGCTGCTTCCTCTGTTGTTCTTCCACGCTCAGACTCACAGTAACGCATTTTATGTTACAGCTCTTCATTCCATCTGTCCATTTTGCAGTTTTAACCAACCATCTTTTTGTCTTTGTCTTTCTCTCTTTGTTGTTGTTTGTATCTTTGTCATTTCACACCTCCATTGCCTTTCTTCATCTCGCCCTGCCCCATGACGTCCCTCTTCAGATTGCCATCCGCTTTCTCCAGCATCCCGAATGTAGTCAGCAGCACAAGCAGAGCGTGATTCCGTCCTTTGTGAACTGTTTTTCCTCTTAAACAGGTAATTGCACATTACATTTGTCTATATGTATCTGTCTCAGTGCCCAAAGTGCTTCTATGCTATACAGTGGAAACATGCTCAGGCATTCAGTGATTGTGGGGCTTTACCCCGACTTAACACAGTTGACAATCCTGACTTAAATGACCCCTGTATGCTGTAACTAAATCATGAGTGTCTGATGTAATTCTTACAGATATTGGGTGGAAACAGGAATGTTTTTTTATATCTAAAACACTAATTGGCCCAACAGAATACCAGTCCTGAGTGTTTGAAAATGATCTGACTGTCCAGTCTGTCTGTCTGCATGTGCGAATGTGTGTTCTGTCGCTAAGGGATACAGCTGTTTGTGTGTGTGTGAGACCAAAGAGGAAGGGGTAAGGACGCCATACTTACCATGCCAGTCATGTCACATAATCCTACCAACTATACCCGTTGAGTGTGTAATGCCGTGGTTTCAGGAATATTGATACTTTAGGTCTGTTCACACGTCCTGAAAGGCGACAGATGCTGTAAAGTGGCAACACACGTTGCACACTTACCTGTTATATGCATGTCCCCCTCTAACCCCGGACTGCCCACAAACGCACAGATGCGTGCAGATACATACACAAAACGAAAAAACACACCAAGGCTCAGGGGAACAGGGTGTTCCTGAAAAGGAGAACAGAGAGCAGAGGGGGTTATTTTAGTCATTAGAGCAGGCAGACAGATAGCTCATTGCGGGAAGGGTGTGTGTGTGTGTGAGAGTGCGTGAGTGCGCATGTGCAGTGATGGAAGAGCTGTAAAAGTGCACAGTGCAGTGTTACCTTTGGAACCTTTGTGATCTTCACAGGAAGTTGGACTAAAGCGTTTGACAACCTGAAACTTAGTATCAAAAGTGATTGTCAATGATGACACAAAGCCTCCAAAATGACTTGAACAACGTCGTTAACGCTGTCACGACTGAGGTTGAGGTTCTTGAACAGTGTTTTTGTAATGTGTGTTTGTGTCTCGGCGCAGGGCCTGGCCAGGTTAAACTCAGTTTGTGAAAGACATGTCAAGAGGTATGCAAGTATTGCGTGTCCTTGGGGGATTTCTTTCTACTTTTACTTGCCGTGCCGGATTGCTGTGATCAGAATACAGACATAAGATGTATTTTTGTGTCTGCACTTGTCAATATGTCAGTAGATTGTGTTTGAATTTTGTGCAGCAGCTGTGGCCTCATGTTCGTGTGGATGCACACAGGACTTGTTGTGAGAGAGCACCTGAGTGTCTGTGTGCATATTCACGTCCCACATTCAAATGCTCAATAGGCTGTTGTAAAGGCCTTTCTTGGCATGGCACAGTCAATTCTAAAAATACACACTCCACAAATTAACACCATGTCTTTGAGCACAGGTGCCATGGCCCCACACTGCCCCACAACTGTGTGTGTACTTGTGTGTTTTACGTCTATGAATGTGTACGAGCGTGACAATTTGCCCTATAGGAAGGAACTAAAGCTGTGCACAGCATGTTTCAATTTATTCCATGTTTCCATTGTGAGCTTTTTGTTGGCATGTGTGTTTGTGACTAATCTGTGGCACAATCCAGAGTGGATCTCTGACCCGGGCTTCCTCCGCTCTACATCCTCCCACTGGCTGTTTGAAGTGAAGGCGCTGTGACATCACAGCATTGGACACACAATGGCCGTTGTGTGCTCTTACTGCGTCAAAGATGCCTGCTTACCCCAGTGGATGCCAGGCAATGGGAAGGCCCATGTGGGGGACCATGCTGCCTGGTAGCAGTGGGTCACTATATGATATCAGGAAGTGATATCCCGTCAGTGTGTATATACTTATATTATGTGTCACGGCTTAGTCACAGTTGAAGGCTATATGAAATGCATATAGCTTTATTACTGTTGGAAAGTTAGGTAGTGTTATGTGAACATGGTGTCAGAAGCATTTTCCCTCTGCAGAGCTGGGGTTTTCACTTTATGGCTTTATGGAGTTTAGCATGTAAAGCTCCAGGTATTCATTGTTATGCTGGGCATTATGTTTACGGGCTGTCTATCCGGTCCGTTCACGTGAACAAGATATCTCAGAAACGGATTGTTTAGCACAAACATCCACTTGCACTCAAAGTTGAGCTGATTGGAATTTGGTGGTCAAAGATCACTGTGACCTCACACAAAACGATTTTTGGCCTCAACTCAAGAATTCCTATGTGCTTTATGACAATTTTACTCAATCACAAATTTGCCTTAAGAGTTTGGCAGTCTGTGCAGCCTACATGTGTATCCTGAGACCCTTGAGACCCTTGAGGCATAGAGTGCACATCTTCCTCTGGCTGGCATTCCTACCTTGCCGATTGAGTTTGGAGATGTAATCACCCCATTTGTCAGACTCTATAAATACACTGTGCAGCATTTCACCACTGGGTGTTTATGTGCAAACACACTTGTTTGTCAGTGTAAGTAGGAACCTTGAAAGAGACGACTACTACGACTATTACGAGAGGGCCTGTCGCTGAAGCTCCAGATGTTAGCAGCCGGTACAAAAGTTGTTTCAACACCAGCAGCAGTTGTGAGTGTTATAGGAAAATCCAATTTGTGAATATTGTGTCTCTACTGCTGTAGTATTTCAGAAATAGAGTATTTCAGTCCGTTTTGGCAGTTTAGAGCTACTGGTGTGGAGTCGGCCTGTCCTCGAGTCCAAGTTCTGCTACATGTTTGTGTTGGAGTGTTTCAATGTGCATCTCTGCATGGGTGTGTGTTTTTCATGTGGGACATCCAATGGGCACAAAGCGGGCAGTGTGTGCCCCCTCGGGTGCTGAAATGTACACTTCGGACAACAGGCGGCTTCAGTCCTCAATAGGAGCTGCCCTTCTTATTGTACCTCACGCACAATGAGCTTTTCTCTCGCTCTCTCTCTCTGTCTTTCTCTCTGTCTTTCGCTCTTTATGACCATATACAGACAGCATTTCTAATGAGAGACGGGAGGAATCAGATTCCGATTGGTTGTTTAGACCCTGATCCCTGTCACTGCTCTTTTGTGTGTAGTTGTCTCGCAACACGTTACCTTCAGCAGAGACATTAGTAAGCAGTAGAAACCTGCCCCTTAAAAGGTTTTATCACACCTGTGTGAGTCTAGACGAGCTTAGTCAGTCATGGGTCCAGGGGATGAACACAAGTCATTGCAGAAGGGGAACTGTCAGTCCTGGGACTCCCCACTGAGTGTGTGCAAGTATACATATGTGTGAGTGTGTATGCGTGAGAGAAAAGAGGAGGAGGTGTTGTAAGGGGTTTGTGGGTGTTCCCCATCGTCCTTCTGCTCACATGATCACCCAAGAACAACAAGACCACATGACTCCCACATGACCTCTCCAGCGTTATCGAGGAAGTACCTCGCAATTTATTGTTTTGGAGGAACAGAGTTGGGGGAGGCCGGTCAGAGTTACTTCTAACTTAACGTCATCCCAGTGCCCTCTTTCAAATGTGAGATTTCATATGAAATCTTATTGGATAAAGTCTGACCTACACAGAGAGTGGAGAGATGTTAGCCTGTAGATGTGCTCTGTTTTGCTCTAATTGCACAACAGGGCCAATTGCAATATCTATAATTTATTATTTTACTGTTATTTCTGTTTCTGTATCCTTAACCACTTGATTATTTCAGTTTCAATTCAACCATGTTTCCCTTTCCTTACTTGATTCAAGACATGAAATCCAGAAAACAAATTGCAAATTTGCGCAGTAGTGGGATTTGTTACTGTTATAGTTTGTAAAGAAAAGATGGATTTACAAAAGACCGTATGAAAATAGACTTATGGGATATGTTATTTCTGGAATGGGTCTTAAATCCAACTCATATTGACAAAGATGCAATTAATACATATAGCTATTTAGATACATTGATCTTTGAATGGTTTGTTAGGTTCTTAGCTTACTTATTCTTTCATTTGGTATATTATCCGATATCATTTTTGAAATGTCCACTGTATTTTTTTCTGATTGTTTTGGATGAATAATGTGTCAAAACATAGCGAAGTATTGCAACGCCCAAACATGAAAAGCCTTATGGTCAGACGTCGCATGAGTACACTGCACATCCTTTAAATAGCCTGATTTATTCTCGAGGCAGTTATTCGGGTCCTCATGCAGGCAGAGACACTACAGCAGTGTATGCTTTTAAGGCATACACAGAGCCATTGCATAATTAAATACGATTAGGAGTCGGAAAACCTGCCCTTGAGCAACTTGTCAAAAGATGACTGGGTGCTTTTGATTCAATTCAGTAGGAACATAGAGGTCATGTGAGGGGAAGACAGCTGATTGATCCAGCAGCTTGCCCAGTGATGGACCAAGACAACAAGAGCACAAGGTCCCAGAACTTACAAGTGTCTGTAAAAAGAGCCTTCACTGATGATGATGGTTTGCTGTCTTACCCAGAGTTAGATGAGAATCGGTCTCACCTATGTGCAGACCATAATAAGCCCAGGATGTACTTAGCCTAGCTTGAATGGACATAGTAGTGTCATCATTAGCTTGAACCGAGGTTATCTGTTGTAATCATTTTTCTTTAAATGAGGAAGATGATGCTCAAATCACAGTTGATGATCAATTTCACTGTTAAACAAACCTGACACATAAGACAAATATAATGTAAAGAGCATCTAACCACAAAGACACGGCTCGCATGTAAAACAAAAAAAACATCCCCTTCTCCTATCCCTTATCGCTAATGCGACCATAACAATGCACACTGGATCCGGGTCAGTTGACCAGCAGCATCCACTCTTGATGGCTACTCTTCTTGTTTGGGAATCCCTGAAGACCATATTTGTTTCCCTTTCTTTCCTCTGACTCAGCTCTCACTTCACTCTCCCTTCCTTTCTCCTCCACAGCTTCCTCTACCTCTCGGGCTGGACTGCGGTGCATTAACGTCGGCTCGCCCTCCCCTGCCCCCTCGCCCCCCAGCAATGGCCTCGCGCATTGGGCTGCGGATGCAGGTACAATACAACCACCCTCCACCAACCAATATGCAGCACATACAAGCCTTTAATCAGCTTTGAATATCAAAATCTGTTTTTAGTGTTGTTTGATCGAGTGGACCCTGGAGAGGAAGGTATTCTGGTCAATGTCAGAGCTTTGTGGGTCTGCCATTGATACTGATGCATTTAGCCGTGCTATTCGGCCCTTGCATATTGTAATATATTTACTGTACATCATTTTATTACAGGGTGATTTTAATAAATGTGTGAGTCACCAGTTGTGCTCTTCCACTCTTGAAAAAGCAGGGAGGCCGAGAAAAGACATTTGCCATCACAGGCAGCTTATACGTAGGTCACAATGCTTTGATGAGCATTCCTGTGATACGTGTGTGTTGTGTGTCCAGCTGATGCGAGACCAGCTGCAGCAAGAGGAGCAGCGTGAGAGGCAGCAGATACAGCAGCATCAGCAGCAGAATGCAGCCCTGCAATACATGCAGCATTGCATGGCTGGGCCACCTGCACCCACGCCAGCCATTAGCACCCCACAGCATAACCAAAGCATGCAGGTCCCCGTGGAGGTTCTTAAGGTCAGTCGAGCTGCAACAAACTATTATTTTCATTGTCAGTTAATGTCTCTATTTGACTTGTTATCAAAAAAAAAAAAAAAGCTTGTTATTTGTTATCAAATCAATCACTCAATAACCCAATACAATTTCAGAAACGTGTGAAAAATGTTCAAGATGACAACTTTTGTCTTTGTTTGTCAAAAAGTCAAAGATATTGAATTTACAATGATATGAAAACAATCACACTAATCACTTAATTGAAATATTGTTTTAAGTTAGTGTGTGAATGGTTGGAAAAGACTTATTGAGAATGAAGTATGTAGAAGTTTTTGAACAGGAAAATAAAAATAATGGGTATTTGATCCAGAATCCCCTCCCTCCTACAAACTCTCTTCTCTCAGACTCGGTCTGGACCACCATGCAGTCTGTTGTAATAAAATAATGAGTGTATAGTAAAATCTCATTTCCGGTCATCATGCAAAAGCACTGCAAACGGATCTCATTGAGGGGATTGGCTGAAGAGAGAGAGAGAACATGTTGGTTAAGGGGGGTTTCAGAAGGACAGGGGGCTGTGGCACTTCCATTAATCCACTCACATGCTGCTGAGCAGCAGGGCGCAGCGGAGGTGGTCAGGACTTCACTTGGGCATTGTGGCCTCTCACGAGGCAGCACTGCCACACAGGGGAAAATCAGGGACAGATTTGAAAAAAAACGCAGAGCGAGAAAAATGCGGTGGATCAGCAAGCAGGTAGGGAGACAGAAGGGGGAGGAAGACGAGCGGATAAGAGATGTTTGACATGTTTTGCGATAGGACAGACGGGAGCGATGTAGATAGTCTGAGTCAGACAGGGACTGATGAAGCTGAAGTGACATTTTGCCTGATTCCAAAGATGCTTGTTTGAGTCCTAATCTTTGATGGTTTGTGTATGGGTTTGCGTCATACTCCATTATGTGTGTGTGACTTTATGGTATTTTGAACTCTAAATCTTTTGTATGCACAGGTAACTGGAGCAATTTGCTGCATCAACACTTTACTCTGTGTGTGTGTGTGTGTGTGTGTGTGTGCGTGTGTGTGCGTGTGCGTGTGTGTGGAATAGTGTTTATGAAATCTCACTCTTTACAGTTGTCTGTGTCTTTCCTTTCATTTTGTTGAGAATGTGATCTGTCTGTCCATCAGCCTCTCAGAGCTTCTGTGTTTCTCTGGACTTCATGTGGGCTGACAGCGCTGGGCCAAATGGGTCAAATAGTTACGACTGAATAGTTGTTATTCTGGCTTAAAATGCCTCCGGGTCTCGTGAGCCAATCGCCAGTGTGTCAATATGTGCTGTAAAGAAAAAAACACACACAAATTAGCATTAAGGTGTTAAAAACATGTGGGTTTTTTTTGAAAGAGTTTCTGGTTCATTTGATATAATCCTGCCGTTATAAAACAGAGGGGGGTTTGGACGACTGAGGGGTTGAGTCTTTTTCAGTTGTAATGGGGAGCAGGCCTGCTCTCTACTGAGCTTTACTCTTTGATGTGAAGGAATGAGGCCAGCCCATTGCTTTATGTAGCCACACCAGAGGGTTTAGTGGCTTTACTCCTGTAGGCTTTACGAGTGACTTAATGCTGCAACGTCCTCGTGCCATCAGTGTTACGGGACAGGGATAATGAGGTGTACATCTGAAGCACATACTCGGTGTGCTGTGTGTTTAAATGTTAGTGTTAAACCATGCTGAGTTTATATAACACACTAACTATTTATGTATTAATGCAATTCTGATGATCCGATGACACAAGTGTTACTACTGTTTCATTGTTTTTATTGTGGAGCTTGAACCGTTACAAAATATGCTCAAATCTATGGGTGTACTTTATTTATTATTATTTATTTAGTTTATTTATTTAGTTTATTTGTAAGGGACAAGTACAGAGAAGTAAAAGTGGACTTCATTGGCAAAATGAAATATTTGGAGTGAAAATGCCAATATGGTCACATAAAGCTGTTGTCTTACACTCACAGCTGCATCACTGTAAGAGAATCCAAGTGTATCTTTGCCTGAGGTACAAGTTGTAATGTATGCAGATTAAGCTGGTGTTTGAATTTTCTTTCCAGGACCATTTGAATATTTATTTTTCTGCAAATATATTAAAAGCCAATTTTGTCATTTTTGACCATTTAGATTATAGGTTATTGTTTAGTAATAATCCTTGTGTTTAAAGAGTTTTCAGTCAGTTTGGGAGTAACAGCAGCTTTCAACCCTTGTGTTTATATTTGGATCACATATTGTGTCTCTAAACAACATTACATTACTTACTTACTTACTATAAATCTTGTATATACTGTTTCCACCAAAGTGTAGTCAAAAATGAATCATTAACGGTATCAACTAAGAATTGGATCAATGTGCAAAATGAATAATGGACTAAGAATGTATCACATCCTGTTACTGTCCATCCCTAATACAGGTACAGACCCACCTCGAGAATCCTACAGACTACCACATCCGTCAGTCTCGGAGGCAACAGGTGAAAGAATTCCTGTCCACCACCTTTGCCACCAAACAGGTACCTTTCTGGATGCTTTTACTCCGTTTGTCTCTCATTAGATCCGCTCCATTTAAATAGCCATCTCTGTGTTTTTGTGTGGTTTGTCCAGCAATCCACACAGTATTGCAGTACATTTATCTAAGCCGGTACTCATTCATTAACACCATCATCACCCTCTCTCTCTCTCTCACACTCTCTGTCTCTCTCCGTCTCTCTCTGTCTCTGTTTCTGTAGACGATCCATGCAGTAGCAGGGCTGGTGCCGCCCTCTCCTCCCACAAACATGGGACCTACAGGGGGCTCAGCTTCTGCCCCCCCACCCCTTCGCTCCCCACACATGCGCACCGAGCAGCTCATGTCTGGAAACAGCGCCCCCAACAGCCCCATGGCCATGCTCAACATCAGCTCCAGCCAGGAGACAGAGGTAGATGCCCGCAAGTGTGGGCAGACAGTAGCATACACACTTATTCCTGGTCATGTTATAAAGTAAGGTTTATAAGAACCAGATTGAACAAATATCCCAAAAATGTGACTTAATTACATTCCTGTATAACATTATGAGGATTGAATACAGCCCCCAAAGTGACATTATCTCTACATTTTATGGAAGCATCATAATGATTTAATAGGTCTTTGGTAGGCTGGAGCAGCATTTGTGAATGCATCGGTGTTAATGTGTCCTGTAGTTGGTGTGTGGATGAATGTGTTGGTTAACTAGCAATAACTGAGACTGGCTATCATTGGAATCTAAACGCTCCATTATGGCTTTGCAACAGTAATTACAGCTTAACAAGTGACAGGAGAACAACAGCCCTTTGAACCTGTCAGACTTTGACCCACTCTCTTCTTTTAGTCTCTGAGAGGAAAATAAGTCTTAATAGTTAGCTTCCGTGACATGATAGTTATCTTTTAAAGTCTTCTCTTGAGTGAGACATGCACCTAGAGGCCTTCATGCCAGCAGGTTTCAGGAGCTTCGATAAACACTCGAGTAGTGACAGTCTTCTTTGTGTGGAAACGCACATTAGCTGCAGTCTTTGTCTTAAAATTATCCATGATAGGTCTTTAAAATTGTCATAATCATACAAGTGACACCCCAGGGTTTTTCTTCCAGATGGATGAGGTCATTGATGACATCATCAGCATGCAGTCCAATTACGACGATATTCAGGCATACATTGACCCTCTCCAGATGCCAAACACAGTAAGTAGAACCAACCCACCGACAAAGTGTGGTTTCAGGACTCCTTTGTTTTTATCAACTTCTAAACATCTAATGTACTTTGGACTCCTTTCTTTAGTTACATATTTTAGATTATCACCAAACATTCCCTACGTGTTTCAGGAAGGTTCAAGGTTTTTTTTATTTTTGGAAGGGGGGGGTCCTTATTTGAATGGAAGGTTTAGTAATACAGGATGCGATATCATTCACAGATTGAAAAATCCTTTAAGACATATTTGTGAATTTGGGCTATATAAATAAAATTGGCACAACTTGACGAGGATACTTGTTGGCATCTTTTTTTTCCCCTCAAAATAAAAGTAATATGCAAGTAAAATCTTTATAAAAATTGTTTTCTAACAGCAAAAGATGATTTTAGTGCCGGGTAAACTTCTGCTTCTTGAGTGATCTCTTGAATTGGAGTCATTGACCTTATTTCAGATCATAATTAAACGATTGCAAATGGTTAACTGTAATAAACTCACAATATATGGATGTGCCATGAATGCATCACCTCTAGAATTCTATAATGTACAGTATTCACAGAATGTGTAGTCCTCTGAAACCCTCGTCCACTTTAGGTTATGAGCCGAGTCTTCCCTAATTTAGTCATAGGGTTGGATATGTTGAGTCATCAAGAATTTAGCTTTTCAGTACTTTCTGCAATCACTATTTCAGATTCTGTCTTTCACTGTGTCCCCTTTCATTTATTGATAACGTTCTTAGTTTGTGTGGCTGTTATCAGGGATGGTGATGGTGTTGTTGCAGTTGTTATTCCTATACACAATAAGCATTACACATGTTTCATGTTGCAAGGCAGCCGTTGAAAAGTAGCTTTAAACCGGCTTTCTTTGTTGTCAGTCTTTTCCTGCATGTGTCCTAAACTCAAACTCGCATCCACACGTGAAAACGTGTATAATTGACTTAAGCACGAAACATTCCATCCTTAATCCATGATGGACGTAGTTAAGAACTGTAGGGAAGACATGTCAGACGAGGACTGTACAGTGCTCTGTGTCTGAGGGAAAATTAACAATTAAACTGCCAGCAGTTAGAGTTCAACTTGTTTACAAGATGTTTCGTGGAAGATAGGGAGGTGGAGGAAAAGAAGGGAGGAGGGAAAGGGGGATGAGGGCAATTTGTGCAAGGGGAAAACAGGCTGAAAGTCCAGTTAGGGGAAAGTTCACTCTTGTTTGGTGGGGAGCGGAGGTAGAAGAAAGACAGGATCGGTGTTGCCGAGGTCAGTCTCTCAGGACAGGGGTGGCAGTGCCAGAGACAGCTGCGTGTGCATGCGCCGGTGCCTGAGAGAGAAAAAGAAACACCACTGGCCTAGTGAGGGAAGGAGAAGATGATGAAGGAGATGAATAAGACATATGCCATTGTGGAAGTTTTTGAAGGAGAACAGATTCAGCTGGTAAGACACTGAAGCGCTGTTGTTTGTCAGACTGTTTAGCATGACTTTGGTTACTGTTGCAGTTTAGCTTTCATTCTGAGTGAACCACAGGATGCAGTGACAGCTCTAACTCCCAGCCTCGGGTCCCTGATTATAAAATGAGCCACAGCAGGGGCGGCGTGATGGGGGAGGTTTTAGGTTTTATTTTTGTGTTTGTGCATGTGATGGACGGTTCTGCAAGACTCAAAACGATCAGAATTAAAAGTACAGAATTATTGCATTTTTGAGTTGATATTAAGCGTCATGTTAGGGTTCAGCATGCAACTAGAATATAAATACCAGCAGTTTGAACTAGTGCAGGCTCAGCTCATTGTGTGTGGTTGTCTATCCGACTCGCTGTGTGTGTGTGTGTGTGTGTGTGTGCGTGTGTGTGTGTGAGAAACCCCAAAAAAACTCCTGTAGCTTTATCTGATAATATGTCCTTTGTGGTTGATAGCTTTAATCAATCTGACTGTGTCTGCATGCGTTTATATGTGTGTCTGACATTACACTGATTGATTAGATTAGGCGAATGATCAACCCTGAGGATGATCAGTGTGTGTGTGTAAAGCCAGCACAGTAAAGAGTAAAGCAACTGAGATAGAAACTCAAAGCGCAGATCAATATGTTAATAGTGCTGCATCAGAACATACTACACATGATGTGTACAGTTTTTTGTGTGAAAATACAGTGGAACCAAATCTCAGAGCCTTATTCCTAACTGACAGACCAGTGAGAAAAAAATTACCTGCTAATCCTGATGGGGATTAAAGCAGCAAACTCCATGGAATTCTTGGAATCTCAAAGTTAAGTAAAAGCTGGGAATGCCACTGAATACCAGGCACAAGTGAACAGTTCGGACCTTAAGTGTGTGTGAGTATGTATGGATGGTTAAACTGAGCCATATACTGTGTCCCAGTCAAACTTGCTTGTTCAATTGAGTGAGATGTATTCTTGTTGGAGTGTTGCATTGTGAGAGTCAGGCTGTCTGGCCTGGATATGGAAGCTCAGTGCAGAAGCATAGAGGAGGCTGGGAATAAAAGTGTATTTGTAACAGTTTTTTTTTCAGCAGAAAACATGAAGTAACCTTAATAAGGTGGGGCATTATGATCAGATTTGATTTGGGTTGTTGTCACTTATAATGATTCACAGTTTTCTTTTTAAAACTAACAGCAGAAAGCAGTTATTATGTCAGTTTTTTCCCCAACTGTAGAGTGTAGTTGAATGTCACAGTCTAGGTAGGCCCACCACAGTTTCATAATGAACCAGAAATATTGAGCTTTTGAACTATTCAACTGTCGGGTTCTGAGACCCGTCTTAAAAAGGAGGGACCCCAAACTTGTTTACCATGCTTTGGGAATGTGATTTCTTTGCTGTGTCTTCACCATTTATATCTATACAACCAATATGTTTATGGTTAAATTGTTTACTAGAGCACAACATTGTACAAGTGCACAAAGTTTTGCATAGCTCCAGCCTCTTAATTTTGCTTTCAAAGTGCAGAAAATTGATGCATATAACTTCAAAATGTACAAATGACCTTGTAGACCCCTGCGAACATTGCCCCGGTCCCCCTACAGGGTCTGCGGTCCACCCATCACAGTCTCCAACTTCCTGTGGGAAACACTGATGAAGATCAACGAAACACTTAAACAAATGTTGAAAAAGATGTGATTTTCCATATCTTAACAGCTTAACATGCAAATACAGTTGGCAAAAGTGTAAACCACAACAATATCATTTCCTCCTCACTAGTGAAGATTATACTTCATCTCCACACTCTTTTGTGAGATTTTTAACAAAGCGTATCATGTGAACCTGATGAAGTGTGTGTGTGTGTGTGTGTGCGTGTGTGTGTGTGTGTGTGAGCTCACATTTTACAGTAGCCAACAGATAAGGTATCTAAGTTCAAATTCTTTATCTTTCAGGCATCATTAGCGGTGTCACATTTGCCCTCACTTCAGGGCATACGATACGATTTGTAACAAGGCATCAAAAGTCCATCGCACTCAAAACTATACAGTGCAATTAAATGGAAATCACGTCTCTTTAGGAGTCCATACAACATTAAATCGCAGCTTTTATACAACGTCTAAAGTGCAAGAGTTGAGACCCCACTCCACAAGTGTGGGTTCAGGAGCTGGAGAAGGCAGAGGAGAGAATCAAGCTATAAAGAGAGAGAGAGATAAGGCACAGGAGGATGATAGTCAATCATTACTGCGTGTTTGGCAGGCTACTCTTAGGTGTGATATTATGGCATTATCTTATGCTATCTGTTCTTTACAGCACACTAAACACGAACACTGCCTTTATGAAGATACTTACCGAGGTGTATGGAGCTGTAAATGTGTAGTCTAGGAAAGAGATGTATAATCTAGATGTAAGACCAGTGTGACCTGAGTTTGATTCAGCATTACTTTCTGTTTTAATGCCTTTTTTATAAGTTCATTAAGTTCAACATTCAGTTAAATTGTGGACTTTGAAAGAAGCATTAATGCCATTGTGTTGTGTGGGTGTGTGTGTGAGTTGATTTTCACTTTACTCCTTGATCAACTGGTTGTGCTTTTGAGTAGCTTCATTCACAACCAATCTGTTTATGGACAACACAGCATTGCATCGAGGTGTACATCAATGTTTTCTCACTCTACTTGCTCCTTCATTCTGCACAGTGTAAGTGATTATTTTAAAGTACACTTCATGTTGTTGGTTTGCTCCCCAGCTCCCCCTGTCTAGCAGTCACCTGGATGTGTATACAGGTCCGGGGATGAAGGGTCCAGCCATTGCTATGACCAGCAACTCCTGTCCTGCCAACCTGACCGTCAAACGAGAACTGACAGGTGCGAAAGTTTTACACTTTGTAAACTACTAAGATCAAACCTTGTCCTGTAATATATGTTGTAGCATTTGTTGACACCATTGATGAACTGTTTCTGTTGAGAAATGGCACCGTCTCAGCCATTAGTTAATCGCTTTTTGTTATTGTAAAGTTACAGAAGCCCGTGCCATGGCCAAGGAGAGGCAGAAAAAAGACAACCACAATCTGAGTAAGTCTTTCCCTCAGCATGCTCTTTACTACGGAAGCCCTAAACGGTCAGGATTCAAACCCTTTTTATATGCACAAGTTTATTTTGTTATCACAGGAAAGCAAAAGGTAATTTACTCTTATTACTTAAAATGTTTGGGTCAAATCAGACAACAGTAAATGTGTTTGAATGACCCAGATCGAGCTGACGGTGATGGACTTGGTGAAGTTAGCAGAATAATACACATCCAGTTTTCAAAATAAGGTGTTAAGAAGGGTACATACAAAATAAAGATATGGAAATAAAATACAATGGATTACTTTATATTATATACCTTTTTTTGCTTGTGATAACGACTTAAATGTCGTTTTCTCGAGGTAACTATATTAAAGCTTTTTTAATCATGTTAGGGCTTCCGTACATTACCCAAATGATATACCTCCTTTTCTACTTTCTCATCAGCAGTACTGCACATACCCTTAGAAAGAAATTCATGCTTACACACCCACACCCACACCCACCATAATCGGTCTCTTGCAAAAAACTGTTTTTTATAGCCTTTCGCTGATTTAGCTGACAGTGCAACTAGTGGGTGGATGGTTAACCTGGTAATTTCTGCTGTCCTGGCACTTAAGTGCGTGTGTGCGTGCGTGTGTGTGTGTGTGTGTGTGTGTGTGTGTGTGTGTGTGTGTGTGTACGCCCCTAAATGTTTGTCCATTTTTGTCCTTTACCGTGTACCCATTATGTGCTTATCTGCATATATCCTCATATATGCACCACAGTGCAGCCCTGTGTCATGTTTACTGTTTGTATGGATGCTATACATACTTAATAATTCACTTTTTTTACTTCCAAAGGCCACAATCTTCCTTGAACAAGTTATTTTTTTCGCCGCCTTTCATGCCTTTGATTTCTTGGCACTGTTATCTTCATGATGTATTTTCCTCTCTCCCCTTTGTCTCTTTCTTGCCTGTTCCATAGTTGAAAGGAGAAGGAGATTCAACATCAATGATCGTATCAAAGAGTTGGGCACCATGATCCCCAAAACCAATGACCTGTGAGTTGCTTTTATAACGTTGTACTTTCAGTGCATATGTAGTTTGTTACTGCCAGTTACTTATCTATGAAATGGGCTGTGTATACTTTACTGTGTGCATAGTGATTTGCGCTGGAACAAAGGCACTATACTGCGGGCGTCTGTAGAGTACATCAAACGCATGCAGAAGGACGCATATAGATCCAGAGAGGTGGAAAATAACTTCAAAAGGATGGAGATGGCCAATAAACAACTGATGCTACGCATCCAGGTAACACCCACACACGCATGCAGAGAAACACAATCGCAGCAAATACATTGAGACTGACGATGTTGCCCTCTGACTACAGGAGTTGGAGATGCAGGCTCGTATACATGGCCTGCCCAGCACCTCTCCCTCTGCCCTGAACCCGACTGATCCGATGGCTTCTTATGTAAAACAAGAGACCAGCCCAGAGGAGAACCTCTCTCACCCCATGGCACAAGCCCACCACCAGCCCCAGCACCTACACCAGAACCAGGCTCATCCCCAGGCCCAGCAGCACCACTTCCTCCAGCAGACCCACCTCCATCACCAGGGCCAGGTTCAGCAACAGCCCAGACAGCTGCCACCGCTCCCCCAACACCTGCAGCAGCCCCAGCCACCCATCCAGTACCCAGCTGTAGGCAGCTCCCAGCCCTTTGACTTTACTCAGTCGCTTGACTTGTGTGATGGGATACCCGGCTTCTCAGACGGCATGTCGGGGTTAGGCGACCTGGGTGGACTGGACGTCCAGGGGAGGAGAGGCGAGCTGGGCTTCCTGATGATGGACGAGCCCTTGTCCCCTATTGGAGGAGACCCACTGCTCTCTGCGATGTCGCCTGAAGCCTCGGTGGACTCCAGCCGCAGATCCAGCTTCAGCATAGAGGATGGAGACATACTGTAGACACGTGCATACAAACACACACATTCAGTCACACAAACGCAGGAAACAAGCACAGGCAGAGGTTTCAGAAAGGTAGCAGTGAAAATGTAAAACAACATCAAAAAGTGATGGTACGTCGGCACAATACATTTGCAGTGCATACAACAGAAAGGAAACGGCAACCAGACGTGACATCATTCACCCAGCACGCACCAATACACATACTATACCCATCACATTATTTGAACACACACCAATGACACTCATTTGTAGTAGAATTACACCCGGCCCTTAACGGCACAACCAAAAGGAGGTACACAGCCATCGTGCAGTTTAAAATATTCTGTATAGTGCAAACGTTTGCACACACACACACACACACACACACACACACACACCCACACAAGCGCATGTGAGATGAACTAAGCAGCTTGAAACTTTGCCCAACAGAGCTTTTACAAGGGGTGAAACAATACTGCCAGCTCAGGAGTTATATTGCACACTTGGCCTTGTTTCCATAAAGGTGGCTCTGAATCATAATTAAACAAGGGACAAAACCAGCAGTTAATTAGATTTAAGTTATCAGATGCAAGGACAACCAAGTGCATTGTCTCACTTGATAGAGGTTATTTTCTCCTTACATCAACCTCTTTTAGTAACCATAAATAATTGAATGAACGATAGTGAATAAAATGGAAACAGCTTCATGGTCCTGCATGCATAATTTATCTTAAGGGGATGCAGTCCAGTCACATTGTTCTCTTCCTCAATCTGTTATGCTAGTGTTGGCTTTTGCCTCTAGCACCAGCTGTTTGGTGTTCGATGTTCCAAAACAGATCTGTGATAGCCTGCTAAGCCAAAGTGTATTCTTCAAACGCCCACATTTTAGGGAACATTTAAAAACTCACTGGAGGAGGCAGATAATCCAGCTTGTCAGCAAAGCCCCTTTAATTTATTGCATCTAGCCCACTTCTGGCTGTAATTGTTGCCTTCTCACAAACACACACTGCTGTCCCCCAGTTCCCACACCTTTAACATTTGACACAGTCATGACCTTTACTGTGGAGAGAATAGAGAAAACATTTGGATGGTCTTCAGAATACAGCGTGTCGTCCTCAAACTGTGAGGTGTCAAAATACTCAGGTACTGTAACAGAATACACAAGCCGGATCATTTTTAAGCAGTAGCAGATGTTAACCTGAACCATGTCCGGCTCACAGCCTCTATCAATGTGCCTTTTCATTTTTGCAGCTGCAGCTCCTCAAAGGCATGTTTTTTTTTTTATAGGTTGGAGATCACCACCAGTATTTTAGTTTTAGTATTAACTTCAATTAGGCCTGTTGACGCTTTAGGGTTTGCTTCTGTACCGTCTATACCGGCGTTGTTGCAGGAGATAAACATTGCATTTTTCTCTCACTAATTGTCTTTGTAGGAACCAGCTTGCTTGCGAGGCCCGGGTGAACGAAATGAAAGTGACAGGGTTTAATCCTGGAGAGAGAAAGATCTAGTTTGTTTCTGACAGCAGAAGTTGTGTAATCTCCACTGTTAAAACACAACACCAGCACTCACTGCATGCATTCACACTCTCACTCGGTTCACAAGCAGGCGTGCATTAAACGTGCAGATGCTCACCCAGTAGTTTGCACACATGCGGTATAGTGTTCACATGCATACAATAAAAACAGTGCAGCCTTGAGGCTGTTTTCAAATCAGCATGTTAACAAGTCTCCTGTGCTTCAGTCTCTCCCCTGACGAGTCGACTGAAGCTGCCGGCTGCAGAGGTAAAACTCGGGTCCGCTTTTCAAACTGCCACCTAAAGGGAATGTGTTATCCCACTGGCTGCAGCTGTGGTGGTTAGGGAGGGCTGAGGTGGACCTGAGTTGTATCTCTGTTGTGGTAGACCTGGGGCTTGGCTTTGATTTGATATAGCTTATGATCAGTACTGATTAAAGGTAGGAAAAAAAACTTTGATGGTGATTTTTCTTTTTTGATTAAAAGAAGTGTTTGTTTTCTTTATTATAGTTTGTTGTATATTTTATCTCTCAAAGCACTGGAAACATCATTATTTCGACTTTGTACATGGAAGAATATGGAATACAATTTATGTCAGATGTTATATGCCACTAAGCCACTTAAATGTATTTTATTTGTATTTGTTGTTTTTAGTTCTTTTATAATTTTATTCCAAAACGACCCTTTCTGCTGAGAGCCATTTTCAGTAAGCACACTGTAAAGGCACACAGGCCACCAATGTTTTATTGAGGAAGGATCGGGGAGCCATTTCTAAACTTCCAGAACTGACTTTAACGAGATGAAGAGATTATGTACATTTACGATGCCATTTTTATATAATTGGGTTTTTATTTTTCTCTCTATTTTAACTTTGAATTTTGGAGCCAGACAGAAAACTTGATTATTTGATTTGATGAATTAAAATTGCTCATTTTATGAATGTAAGCTTTACCCAGTGGTTCTGGTCAGACTGAAGCAGGTCGCCATGCTCCCGTCCTTCCTGACTTTGGTTTCCATGGAAACTAGAAGATGACTGACTTTAAATACACTCTGAGCCGAGGAGTCATGGTCGCCTTGGCGCGGAATCACTGACTCTGCATCGATCACTGCCTTTCTGCCAGAGTTGTGCCTTTTCCCTTTCAGCCACAGTTTGACTTTTGTTGACTTTCACCCTGCCAACACTCCAAAGAGCTGCTCGGGCCTCCTCTACTCTTCCACTAGAGGGCGCTCTGCAGAGCAAACTACACAGGGAAAAGTGGTTCTGATTTTACTGAGAATATAAAATGTTTTACCAGAATCCATTCTCTGACTTTGTGTTTCTTATTTATGCGACTTAAGAAGTGTGTGTGTGTGTGTGTGTGTGTGTGTGTGTGCGCTCTTATATCAATATATTGTCACATTGAGGGGGCTCAACTTCCATTTGGGGACAAATGTCTGGTCCCCACAAGGTTAAAGTCTCCCTCCTCTCAAACAGGTGGTTTGCTTCTTGTTGTCTGAGCGTCACTGTGCAGAATGATGAGTGGAATGAAATGAAATGAAAAGACAGTTTGACACTAGAAGGCCGTTTTCACATTCATCTCCAGAAGGAGGAAAGTTTCTCTGTGCTCACCTTAGATCTCAGTTTAACATGTGTAAGTATACAAGCAGGATTTTGTGATATCAGAATTAGTTTGGATGCCAAAAAGCATGAGACATGTCTGTCTCTTATTTAACCATTACATTTTAGGTTTATATCTTGTTGAGGTTGATGTAAGTAATTGCAATGTCCTCCTAAAGTGAAGGAAGAAAAGTTTGGAAATTTGGTGCAGAAATCCACATGTATCTAAATAAATTGTAATGCCCCTTAAGCATTTAAAATAAAATCAAATATAAATGAAATAATACATCTTATTGGGAAACGTGGCTATTCTGAGAGATGGATTTTGTAACAACACAGTTAAAGTGTAATCAAAGATTAGACGATGGTCAAATGTCCATGTCCTGTTCATTAGTCAAATGTAAGATAGTGAAAGTATGTGAATATTTTCTGAGCATATATTGTGTATGTTAGTGTTTCTCTCACTGTCTTTGTAATTTTTGGCATATATAGGCAGACATTAATTCAAGTTGTTACATTATATGTCCACCAGAGAGCACCAGAGATCCATAATGTAGAGCACGCTCCCTGTGTCTCAAACTGTTTGGTATCGCTGTCACAGAAGAGACTGAGCTGCTGTGCTTTTTACCTCTTAAGTACTTCTTAAAACTCCAACATTAATTTGAGCTTGTTCACAAATGGCGAGCAAAGTTGAGTAATGCACGGCGAAAACAGCAGCAAAGCCTTTCGATTGCTTTTTTTTGCCCCGTCTCCCTGCCATGTCATAAAACCCCAGCATAGCAGGACAGCATTCCCGGTGCAGTTTTAACATAGAGAAATATAAAGCTTTTGACAAATTACATGTATTGCTACCAATTTGCTAATATCACCCTATTTTCTTGGAGGTGGTGCCCTTAACATTTCACCTGCCTTCTTTTTTTGTCCTCTTTTTTTCCTCTTTTGCATCTCTTTCATACATCTCCTGATGTATTAGTCCAGGGCTGCTTCTGGATGATCCATAAAACCATTTAACAGCCTTTCTTAAGTTAAATCGGGGTAATCTTATTCTCCGTACACACACACACACACACACACACACTGACTGATGCTGCTGAGCATGTTTAAGTGTAGTGGTGGTGTCTGCAGCCCATCCACAGGCCCATTCTCCCGAGTCTTTATGATGCTAATGTACTCCCCAGTCTAATAAATCCCTGTAGAGCTGCAAAGAGTAGATCTTATGGCTCACTCCGATCGCCACCTTTTCGCCCATCTCCTCTCCCCCCCCCTCCCCCGCCAGCACACATACACGCTCTGCTATTAACGCAGCAGAAGTGCCTGCCTTGCACTTCCACAGATACTTGGGTGGCTGTTTAGTCAGGGGCAGAGAGAAGGGTTGAGACAAATCAAACATGAAGGTGCAATTTGAAAAATGTTGAAATGGGAACGCAGAGTTCGGCCCTGGCGTAGTGTGCTGGTTGTGGTGTGAGAGGACACACACTGAGAAACACTCATCACCTCTTTTTCTGAAGGTTAGGCCTCTTGAAGTGGGTTTGGCACAGCACCGTGAGCTCCAGCATGCCCTCCAGCGGGGTGAGGAAGAGGGAGAAGTAAAATAATCACTGAGGTTTCTCTCTTCTGTGTTCAACAAGGAGCTCCATTCAGAGCTGAGGATGGATCCTCTATCAGAGCGAGGAGAAATTACGCTTCATTCTCTCCTCCAACCAATCTTCCTTTTCATCCTGTCTCCTCACCTCAACGTCCCCCTCTACCTGCCCCCACTACACTCTCTCCCCCCATAGTCTTCTTCTGGCCGCTGGGCTCGTTCGTGTGTGTGCGCATGCGTATGCATGTGTGTGTGTGTGTGTGCGTGTGTGTGTGTGTGTGTGTGTCCTCCCTCCCTCCCAGGGGAGCAGTGTGTCACTCAGCTTGAAGCCCACGGAAGAGAGGTGAAAGGGGGCTGATTGAGCTAATTTAGCCCCTGGATGTGAGACCAGGAAAGGCCTCACCCTCTGCTAATAGACAGACATCAAAATGGAGATGAGGGGGGGTATAAGGAGGGAAAGAAGAGAGGAGGGAGGTAGGACTATAAAACTGAGACGACTTTTTGATGGATTTATCTCTTTTTGTCCGAGGGGATGTGGAGAAAACTTTTATGAACACTGAGTGACATTGTGAAGTTGGTAAAGGTTTATGTGTGTTGCCTTGAATTAAAACCTGCTGATATTGCTTATTGATCCGTCGTCCTCCATTAAGATACCGTCAATCACAGTGCTTTATGATCTCTTCTGCTCAGGCCACACACCGTACATTCTCCCTGACAGGCAGACTGGAAGTCACACCAAAGATACTGGCTTTTACCACACAGATAGAGATTGGAGACACTTGTTATAGCTTTTGCAGGCATACATACTCCTGTAAGACCTGATGGCCCACTATCAAAAAGCCTCTAATGAAGATGGCACCATGACACAACATTGATTTTAGCTCCATAATTCATGAGCACTGCAGATTGAAGCTTTTTCTAAAGTTTTGGGGGCACCTCTGAAACTCTTAATTCCTCCAATCTATTTCCAAAGTGATTTAGTTGTTTCCGTTATTCTACACAGTGTATGTTTGATGGCCTTCCACTTCAGAAGTATTCAGATTTTTATCTGTATTGGATTTCAGTCGAGTGTGTAAAAGGGTTGAATAAAGGCAGCAAGGCATCGTAAAAGTGTCTTTGTCTCTTTGAAAGGTCAAAACTGAGAGTTCACAAACACCCTTCACACAGTCAAGGCGACAACTCCTTCCTTTCTCTTTACCTTACAGTCTCTCACTAACTTACTCGGTCTTAACTCTGTCCCCACACACTCGGTGTCCTTCTTCATTCCCACCTCTCCTGCCCCTCTTTATTCTGCTGCACCTTTGTCCATCTTCCTCTACATATTTAATACTCCTCGCTGACTCCCTTCAACCCCTCGCGCCACTATTCCTGAAAGAAAAGTATCTCAAATTGGCTGGAGAGATGAATAATGTCCCCGCCATTAAGTGTGGCGTGGAAGAATCAGTCTTTTCATGTGTGTGGAGGTAAAGAGATGAGTAGCAGGAGAGGTGAGAACCGGGTGAATGGTGGTGGGCTGTGGTATGAGTCGTTATCGTTCATTCTAACTTTTATCTTTTAACTTTCCTCTGCAGCAGATGAAGAAGCAGAAGAGAGATGAGGAGTGACTTGTATGGAGATTTACTGGATGTGGCCTGCACAGAGTAAGATAGTTGCTGAGAAAAGTGTATGGTGCTGAGCTGAGTCACTGATCGCACATGCATATATACTGCAGCAAGTTCACTTTAAAATCTAAAATGAGTCTTTGACTTCTTGTTCTTTTGAAACAAGTGTAAAAAAAAAAAGTACATTTTGCAAAAGCTATAATTTAGATTTTCCCCCAACATCATGAAAAATAAATTAGAAGTCATTTCATCGTCACTTCTTTATTGCTGAAATTACATTTTGTACCAAAATTAAGTCCATGTATCCTGGATTCTTACAGTAATTTCTCCTCCTTTGCTGTAAAAGAGTCTTTCCATCTAGATGGCCAGTAGGGGGAGTTAGTGGTCCACAACACAGTTAAAGCAGAAGCCCAACAAGGCCTGACTGACATTTCTTAACACTGAAAATTAATATGTTGTTTGAATTGCAGTGAATGTCATCCACTGACAGAAAGAGCATCTGGTGCAACCTCTGTAAAATTAAGACACGGTGTCTTCTCTAAATTCCACCGGCAGGCTACCCGGGAACATAATGGGCAAACTGTTGTTCGGCTGTTTGAATGATCAAAGATGGAACACAAATACCTTAACATCTCTTATTTTTATGGGTTGGTTGGAGGGGTGTTAAATTAAGCTTATCTGTATTATGATAAATAATGCATCTGACATAGAATTTGTCACATTTTGAAGGTTAACTACTCCATCCTTTCCTCTGGCAGCTGACGGAGTGGCTATGAGAGTGATGAATCCCGCATCATGTCTTCATTGCAGGTTTTTTTTTCAGACTGAGAATTTATCTTGAGCGGGACCTCGAATGATGGACAATATCATCGTCCTTGACAAGCAAAAAAAACCATGAAGATTACCGACTAACTAATGGTCTGGCGCACAGGATTCATTCAAACCTAAGCTCCTGACATATATTTGTTCTTTTTGCTGTGTTTGTTTCTCTATCAGCCAATCCATCCACCCAGCCATCCACTCATCCATTCATCCATCCATCTTGCAAATCCTCTTCCATTTCGTTTGGTGTTGTTGTGAGTGAGAAGCCGTTTCACTGAACTTAAAATCTGAAGGTCGCAAAGATTTGACATTTTCTTTCCATACCTCCCTGAAAAGCAGCATAGATTATACAGCCCACAGCTGTTATCACATTTATGCCCTTCTTCAAGCTTCTTTTTATTCTCATCCTCTCTTCTCCTGCCTTTCAGAGACCTGAAGATAACGGCACGCCACATGACGCCATTGTCCTCCCGCTCTCTCTCTATCTCTCTCTCTTTCGTAGGTGGAGATTTAAAGTTTTGTTTTAAAACTGCCACCGTTACAATCCTGCTTAACACCCCCCCCCCCCCCTCCCTCTTGTCTCCCCTCTTCCTCCTGAGTATACTACCTAACCCCTCTGAACTTCAGTCAGAGTTACTGAAGACCCTGAGTACACTGGGGAGTCAGCTACACCGCTGAGAAAGAGACAGAGATAGACAG